TCAATTTGCACTCTCTTTTATCATTTAACCCTCCCGTCAGACTGTCGCATGTCGTCATACCGTGATATGACTGGGTTCGTGCCAATAGTGCTTACCTCTTTCCTGTTCTTTACCATCTCCTAGTCGGTCCATCAGTCAGAATTGTGCAGCATACGAGACAGGAAATGCAGGTTGCGGCGTCCAACTTTCCGACCCGGCCAGCTTTGGGGTTCCATTCAACAACAACCAAGGCGGATGGTATGACTAGATTTTCCCTGCGGTCAGGGTGCTGACTCCCACCATAGGTATGCTATGGAGCGCACCGACAAGGATATTAAAGTGTGGTTTTGGCCTCGAAGTGCCGAATATGTTCCTGGCCAGGTCGAATTCTCGGCGTCCAATGGCGTTATTGAACCAGGTGCTTGGGTACGTGCTTCTGGAAACGGATACTCCTTACTATGTCGAGATTCCTGACGGCGTTCATGCAGGGTACACCTGCTGCTGCTTGGTCGAGTGAGATGTGTGACTTTTCCCAGCATTTCGGTCTCCACAACATTATCATCAACCTCACGTTTTGTGCGACTGTATTCTCCGTTATCCGAGTAATCGTTGCTGACGTCGGGCTACTTTCTAGGCGGTGATTGGGCCGGTGCTGAATACTCGAAATCTGGCTGTCCTGATACGTGCGAAGGTCAGTGGGATGCTATCTGACTCTGCCCATGCTCACGTATCCCCTGCAGGCTTTGTCAACTCGAATCCGGGCAGCTTCTACAACGCGTACTTCGACTTTTCGGCGATTAGGATATACACGTAGAGGACTGGGATTTAGATGACTTTGAGGGATACATGTATGGAAGGTGGGATACCGGTGGATTTGATACCATGCATGACTTGGACTAGGTGCACTGTCGCCAATGAAACAGACCACTCTTTTGCGAACGATGATTGATGCTGACCTCTGGTCAGCTGACCTGTGCTGTTACTTCGATGTCCCGCAAAAAGGCAGCCCGCTCGGAACCCGTTGCCCGACGACAGCCAAAAGAGCGTCTCCAAACTTGCGTCCTGGAAGAGCTCTGGTCAATCTGGCGAGCCGACCCACGCGTGCCCTCGATCGAGTCCCGACGATCGTGGGCAGTATCCCGCAACGCAAACCCCCGCCTAGTGGACGGCTGGTTCCTCCGCAGAAAGACATGCGCGAAAAAGGCGGGGCAACCGATGCCTGACGGATCGTATGACCTCCCACTCGACCTGCCCATTGTGCCGAAACGAGAACAGTCCCCAACCCCCATCGGACCCAAGCTCGATGCCCCTGACTCGCCCTCCGATGACACACTGGTCCTGGTTTATCCCCCTGATAGTGACGACTTGAACGACATAGAAGCTTCTTCCGATACCATTTTTGATGGAGACACACCCGAAGAGCCAAAAAGGACCGAAACCCCCGCATACAAGGAGGTCCCGCAGCAATCTCGCCCTGAACACCACCATTCTCAGCTAGATCTGAGGTTTGACGCAGCTTTCTTCTCAGTCATTATTGACTTCCTTTGGTAATAGCCCCGCTGATCTTTATGCACCAGAAGATCGCTGTGACGAAGACACTTTGTTGTTTGAAAACCCTTCTTTCCCTGTCTGCAACCAAGGCCGGGGGAAGCAGTCCGACTTTACGTGTATACTTTGTTCAACCAAGTCAGCCCAAGGTGATGAGAGTGTCTCTCCGGAGCAATCTGCATATATGCGCCACTCTAACACGGGCGCACCCCAGATTCGGATCCGGTCCTGTCTGACTCTGACGCGACGTCCGATCCGAAAGAAGCCTTGCCAATCCCATGTCCGCGTCTCGACTTCTTTCCCGACACGCTTTCGGAGCTCTCTGCCATCCCATTCTTGTTTCGCACACCACGCGCCGTACGTCCAGACAATGCTGTCGAGCGTCAAAGCGTGGATGACTGGACGATCGTCGAGGACGAGCTAGGGCGTCTCGTAAACGATGGGAAGCTCGATTTTTCTTTTCTTGACGTCCCACACCTCGCCTCCATGGAGTTGCTTGATTGAGCTTGATGTCACGGCTGTTTGTTCTCTGTGAATTCCACGTTGTTGTGTTGCTTTACTCTGTCATACTCTACAGATCCCTCTAAATGTGTGCGTGTAATTCATGTTCCGTTCAATGGGCATATTGTCGGCCCTGAGGTTCTGTTGCCCCCTAACTTGGTGGTGAATGGAAAAGTCTTTGGGTGTGGACATTGTTCTGGTTCGGTTTTTAGCGCTGGCACTTTGGCTCGGTCACTGTCAAGCGGGCCGCGGCCCGTTTACATCGTTGGTTATCCAGGTACCGGCATCATATCCATAATGCCCCAGGTCGTTCTTCGGACTGCGCCACTCCCACGACGGAGATCGCAAGCCTATCAAGCCTGTGTAAGCATAGCCGGGATGCGCGGTTTATAAGACCCGGTGGACTTTGACTGATGAACATTACCGCACGTTCGCTCGTGTAATCGCGCAATGACTCGTGTTACGACGAACCTCGGAGGGACGGCATCTGGCGTCGTGGTCGGCAAAGTCGCTGTAAGTCCTGACCCCGACTGATCTAAGTCGGACTGGTCTCATTTCTTGGTGATATGTAGCATGGCCTCATGTCCATGACGTGAGTAGTGTACGGTCCAACTTCGCTCCGGGCACCTCGCTGAAAGCATTTTCAGCTGGAAGCAAAATCCTGTTCCAGACGAGCAATGTTTTGAGGCTATCAAGGCAGGTATCCTCGCCTTACCCCCTGGCGCCAAGATGCTCCTCAACGGAGGTCAGTAAACTACGACGGTCTTTCAGCGAAACCCTTGCTTGATTTGTCGCAGGAGAGTTCTACGGCCACAACTTATCCACCACCAACCTCGAGATGATCGCTCGATTCTTTGAGAAGTACCCAGAGTTTGTCGACAGGACATTCTTGTCCATTAAAGTATGGATGAATTGATGATACTTTTCCCGCACGTTCGACGATCATTCCTTCCAGGGAGGGCTCAAAACAGACGGAGCGCCTGTACCAGATGGCTCGTGAGTTATTGACAATCTCCTCGGAGCAATTCCCCCATCTGTTTCTCTTCTCTTGGCCAGAGAACCTTTTGCGGAGCGTGAATACCATCAACGAAAAATTGAGAGGAACGAAGCGTCTCGATTTGTTTGAGTGCACCCGTGTTGATCCCAACGTTCCCGTGGAAGAAACGATCGCGACCCTCGCGGAACTCAAGAGCCAAGGCAAGTTGGACCACATCGGGATGACTGAATGCAGCGCACAGACTCTTCGTCGGGCACACAAGGTTGGTATACTATAGGATTTGACCGTCGCGCTGGCAACCAATCTTCTTTGTAGGTTCACCCGATCAGCGTTGTGGAGATCGAAGTCAGTCTCTTCTCATACGAACCGCAAGCACGGGAAGGTAGGGCAGACGCGATCGATTTCTGAGCGTAAATTAATCACGCACCAAGTCATCGCCACTGCGAAAGAATTGGGAATTGCGGTTGCCGCGTACTCGTGGGTCGCCTCGTCGTTGCCAGTACGGATGCTCACAACGTTTCTGAAGACCGCTTGGAAAGGGTTTCCTGACAGGACAGATCAAGAAACTTGATGATTTACCCGGTGCGCAGCGTCGTGCTCCCCACCGGCAGGAATCACGACTGAACGCGCTGTAGCGGACGACTCGCGCCGTCACTTCCCCCGGTACCAAGAAGACGTAAGTTTCAGTTTGCGTTTGGGATACATAGTCCGTTTTGATAAATATTACAACCAGAACTTTAGGGACAATTTGACCATAGTCGATGCCTTGACTGAGATCGCCAAGAGGAAGAAAATCACGACGACGCAGCTCTGCATCGGTTGGGTCAGTTCACTTGGCCCGCACGTTATCCCGCTTCCCGGATCTTCGTATGACACCGTTCCACCAGAATGCGATTCGTTCGACTGATCATATGCTCCCAGACGCGCTGACCGTACACTGGAGAATTGTTCGGGAGGTGATGTTACGTTCACAGAGGCGGAGTTACAGGAGATCCACCAATTGATCGAGAAATCTGAGGTGAAAGGAACTAGATACCCTTCTTTTGCACAGCACCTTTGGGCTTGAGTACCTTTCCAGTACCAATTACTTTGCGTAGCGCTTTTAACAGCTCGTGGACAAAACAGAACAATCGGACTGCTATTCTTGAGTACAGCAAGGTCGTCGACGTAGTGTGTGGGGGGAGAATCGGTCAATCTCCAGCAGTATGATGCCAAAGTATCGCCGTTGCACGTCGGATACTATGTACATGACCAGCTGTCGGTGACGGTACGGAGCGGTAAAGGCTCCCAAAACAGCCTCGCCGAAAGTTTCCAGTACTTCGCTAGCGTCAAGCAGGAAATCCTCCGAAAGGGTACCGCAAGGAGGCGATGAACAGCAGGCCACCTTTGAGCCCACCGCCGCGGCATCAAGTACGTCAGGTTCATTCAAGATTCCGAGACAGCCACAGCGCTCACCTAGTACAATGCCAAACGGATGCGCTTTCATCTTTGCACGTTCCATTCTCACTTTCTCCTCGCCATCTGCATTGTCAAGTTGTCGATATACATCTGCAGCGTAGCGTTCTCGGACGCGAGCTTCTCGACGTCGGTTTGAACGCTGTGCACGCGCGTTACGAGGGCTAGCGGGAAAAGTTTCGACCAGTTCATATTGCATGGGATATAAGACAACTTGATGAGGGCGTCACCCACCTCTGAGATCACCCTGTGCAGCGGCGATATCTCTACAAACAGTGTCAGTGGCGCAGTTTTGCACAGGTAGGGTTTGGGGCATCTACTTGAGTACTTGCTCTTTTCGGATCGCATCTTTGACTATGTCACTCGATTCTGCTGCGGAAATTGCCCAGGCGGCGCTCTCCTCGAAACCGTTGAGCGCCATCGACGGACGTTGCAAAGTTGAAACGTTGATGATCGGACTGGAAGATGTTTCGTGAGATTCCAAGCCTGAGTGGCGTATGGTCGGCCATAATAATAAAAACTCTCTGGCGGGGAGTCGAACCCCGCTCTCCCGCGGTCTTACACCGTATCGCACATGACAGGCGGGTGTACTATCCGATATACTACCAGAGACGTTAACAAAGTCGAGTTTAGAAGCATATATGACGTTAATAATAAGTACATGATTAGCCGAGGGGGGGGATAGCTGTGGTGTTCACAGGAATGTCCGATGGGCAAAGACTGACGGCGCACGACTCCTCGCTTTCTCTACCTCAACTACTACAAGCTTAACAGAGGGTCGAATCCATGAACAACAGTTCATTCTCCTTTTCATCGAATGTCTTCGGATTCGTAGCTGGTGGCATTTCGCTGCTTGGATTCATAGTTGCAGTGTGTCGGTCTCACCTTCCTAGTAACAAAATCAAGGCATTGGAGACTCTCTTGCACGAAACGGAAAATACTTTCAAGGAAGCTATCGAGGGCGGACTCTTGGTACACGAATTTATTGAAAGGACGCAACATCGTCTGGTTGTGTGGGTTAGGAGTGCTCTGTCTTTCAAGTGTTTTCATGATGTTTCTGTCAGATTGAAGGAACAGACGTGCAATTTGCAGGAACGCGCGTATAGTGCAACTACCTTATGGAAAGATTATGCCGAATTCTTTGGTGGAACATCGAAGGCGATCGGGCGCGCATGTCGTTCCGTCAAAATCCTTAGAGCTGAAGTCATCGTTTGTACTTCCATTTGGCCCCTCTGAGCTGTTCTGACCTAGGTACTGCTTGTTCACGAACATCATCGGCGCGACCTTCGGGGTCACGGCAGTCTCAGTGCTCATCGAGCCACATTGAACCCATGCCGCACGCGGATGCACACAATACCCTTTGTGCTGGGGATGAGGCGCCAATTACATCGTCTCATGGTTCCAGAACTGCCAGACCTTCTACGTTGTCGCCTGGCCCCGGATCTCTTCCAATAACCCCACTCCACTCCGCAATTTCAGATCAATATACTGCAAACCAAGATGTCCTGCATCCCCAGCAACTTCTAAATCAACGGCCGATCTCGCATCATCCCAGTCTCTCACCCAACCCCGGTCATCAGGTTTCGTTGCCCACTCTCCTTGAAAGTTCTATACTTTCAAGCCCGACTACTCGCCATGTTGCGATAAACAGCCACTCTGCACGTCCACGGTCGTCAAACCAGGACATCTCGGATCTTGCAGCCCATTATGGGATACCCCAGTTTTTACCAGTTGCCCCTCGTACAACACCACGTAGAACAACAGACCCTGAAGAAGGAGCCCCCGATTTCGCAAATCTTTGCTCCAACTACTTGACCATGTTGTCTCAAAATCCAGGCGATGATGGCGCGAACCACGCCCCGACTCAGGACTCCGCGCTGGTGGCGGCCGGTGCAGAAGTGACGGACGCTGACGCCATCCGGTCACTCATGGACATACTGGGCGGTTCGTTTTCTTTGGCGACGCCCTGGATCAAATTGGACTCACCTTGTTCTGTAGCCACAGCGCCAGAGTTTCAGATGTCAGATGATCTGAACGAATTTCTAACATCCCCGCCTATCGATTCACCTTTTGATGACGACTTGCTCATTACCCCTGCTGTCGGATCAGACATGCAAGCGGACATGATGTCAAGTCCTCTGATGGGTGATTTTGGGAATGACTCATTTGGCGAATTCCCGTCTCTGTTCAGCGAGTTCAATAGTGCCGTGTGTCTTGGATCGAAGCCACCACAGGATGAGCCACCCCTCTTCCCTCACCTATTCAACCTAGACAAGATGTACAGCCTAGAGACTCCCAACACCCCATTCATCGACTCCCCTAACCTCTCTCCGTTCGACAGAAAGGTGGCGCCCCTTCCATCGGCCAAGCGGAAGTTTAGCGCTACTTGTACTCGCAAGAACGTTACGCTGGAGTCGCTTGTTTCAATTGACGCACCCACCCAATTGCGCAAGTATGTAACCCCTTCTGCTACATCACAGAAGGAGCTTCCTGCCACCTGGCGTCGTAAGCGGCTTCGCACCGCTGGCCCAGGTGAAGAAGACCAGCTTGTCGAGGCGTTGAATCCTGCGCTGTCAGAGCAGGAGCAGATCGAGGCCAAGCGACGTCAAAACATGATCGCAGCTCGCCGTAGCCGGAAGCGTAAGCTGGAGTGCTAGTACCAGCGGTGAGCTGGAGCAGAGTCTGCAACAATACAAGGAGGAGCGAGATGTGAAAGCAGCGAGCAATGACCTGCCTGGCTTTGCCTTGCAGCCACCATATCGAGTGCCCGGGGTTTCCAGATTTATGAACGCTATTCTTTTTTGCCTTTTTTCATACCCGTCGGTCTGTGTCCCATGTGTCCTTCCTCTATTTTTCTTTCTTTGCAATCGATTCATGTCTAGCCCAAGCCTTGGTGATCAAGCTGTAATCTTCAATGCTCCGTGTATTGCTACATCTATCCAAGGCACACCTCACTAATTACCTTTGCCTTTACACGCCGCTAGTGTACGAACCGAAATCAAGATTTACTTGGGATGTACATTCTAGCCCAACTGGAAGTAGCCTCATTCGCATTTATCAGTGGATCCAGCGGCTGGAGCTTCCAGCTACGCTCGGCGGAACTCAACGGATACATAGCAACCGCTGCCAACGACAGGTAGGTGTGATACGGATCTTGGAACGGGTATCAGCGATCCTTCCAACAGAACATTAGGGAGGTTTCTAACCGGGATGTTCCTTTGGCGCCTTGGAAATCCCGCCAAATTTGAATTGACAGGATGCTATAAATTTGGAGAGCGACCGCTCACATACGAACTCCCGCGCTCCAAGGATCTAGAGGGATTTCTAAGTGACGAATGATGGAGATGAGAGTTCCATAGAAACTTACTGATAGCGAAGCACCACACCAAAAACAATAACAAGCGTCCGCTTCTTTGTTTGTCCGCCCACAGTAGCCGCCCGACAATACTTGATTTTGAGTTAGCCATCGTATCGTCTGTTGCCTCTCGCTGTTGGTGAGGCTGGAGCCTTTACCAGCAAGGAAGATCGACGCCAATGCGCAATATGTAGGACCCCCTAAAGTCATTAGAACCAGGTATGGGCGTTGCAATACAATCTACCTGCAGCCTCAGCGAAAGGCACCTGACCGTACCCGCCTTCATAAGACTGGAGCAGTATCAGTCAAGCACATGTACGACGTGGGCAGACCACTTACTCTGCAGGCCGCGATGAACCTCAAGGCAGGCTCGATCCGTACACCCGACCAATCATCCAGCATGCTACTGATCGCAAAAGCGCAGTAGGTGGTTCGTACATCGGCATCCCCCCCGTAAGGTTCAGAGGAAAAACTGGAAAGCATCGCCCTTGGTCACTGGAGTCCACGTGAAAGTTTTCGTCAACAAAAACTCACCTCCCATCTTCACCCTGGCAAGCATGCAAGAGTTTGATGATCCCTGGACGATCTAACTGGGAGAAATCGTCGCGAAGGATTGCGAGTGACAATAACGCAGTGTATGTCAAGATGATATGAGGAGAGTTCTCAGAGCTCGAGGAGTAGTTGGTCTGGTTAGCTTGTTAGAAGATACTCGTTCGAAATAGCGAGAAATATATTACAGGCTCTTCATTAGCTGTCATGTAATTCCCTGGACGGAAACCAGTACCACATGGTCCCTCTGGCGGGTGAACGTTGTCAATTCCTCAAGGCCTGTGTGCCGACAGAGGTCCTTACGGATCTGCTGTTCCCATATCCACTGCCGCCAACCCTCCTTCTCTGATGTGCTCGCACCTTCGTTTGTGAACTGGCCCGTTAGGTCCAGTGACCCCAGACAGTAGAAAGCCAAGGCCAGTCTATCGTGTGATTATTACGAATTGTCCCCAAGACCGCCAACGAACGTCACACTTGGATGGATCGATGTCGACCTGAGAGCTTGGCAACCCAAGCATACACCTTTTACAGTGGGTTGCGTGTGCGCCTGTGGCTAACGGAGCCAAGGAGTCCATTGCGACACCGGTTGGTAATGTTGAGGGTAGCGACTCAGTCTGTACGTACAAGTTACCGCGTCGCGGACTTGGACTCGGAGCAGTTTACTCGCAAGTCAGTCCCCCCTTTACCTCGAAGTCCTCCGAACTTGAACTTCGCTATAATCAAGAGTGATATTAGCCATGTTCTTTCTCTATCGTTCTGGAACTGCTCGTGGAATCTTCCAACAGGTTCTATGGTGTGCTCTAAATTTACTAACCTGTAGCATTAACTTACCAGTGTACCACAGACTTTTTCGAAGGAAGGATACCTTCCCAATGCAAGCATGCGGGGTGAATCGAAACAACACAAATATGTCGCCTCGCAGTATCATGGAGCCAGTCGTTCCTCCAAAGTTGAAGTTTAACGCCAGTGACATTCCGGATTTGACCTGCGGGATGGTGATTGTGACGGAAAGCCAACAATGGCACTTGCATCTAAGGAAACAGTACAACGTTGGAGTACCTACGTGCGCAGCCCCGGATTCAAAGCGGTCTGGTACATATAGGTATGCATTGTCTGAAGTGCTGATGATATCCAATAAGTTTATCAGCATCGACCCCCAACTTCCTTGAAATTTACGAAGCTGACAGGAACTATAGTGCCGTGTCGCTCCTCAACTTAAATTCTCAACTTTTTTTTTTTCATTGTGGCGGTGGTCGTGGCTTCCCAAATTCGATCGGTGTCACCTTTCAACCAGGCCCCGACGATGACCTCTATAAGACGGTCCATCTAGACAACTGTACGAGGAATTTGCCCGTTCCAAGTGTTACCGTATTCAATGCCGCCGACACGTTTTCCCACTTCCGCAGGGCATGGGTGCGAACAATGGTCACTGTCCCTGCACGGAATATTCCCAATCCTCTTGAGGTGGAACCAGGGCAGTACAGGTTCGTCTGTACCTTCTTTTTCCCATTTAGATGTCTTCGTCGTGGACGTCAGCTGGACGACTATCCGAGAACGTGCGACACGACCGAGCCCAGCATGGTGAGCGTTCCCCTTCCTTGTGGGAGTGACGTAATAAGATACTATAGGACGCAGTAGGATAAGTCTGCCACCTGAAGGGCTGGACGGATTGTTGAACATATGCGGGAACGTGGGCATGGGCTTGAGA